GAGTCTCCAGAACACACCTCTGAGATGCTGCATCGCCTGGATGAGGAAGGAAGCCACTGTGGTCTCACCATCAACACTTCTAAGACCAAAGTAATGCGAAACCAATTTTCAGGCGATACCCCTGTGCTTCTTAAAGGAGGTGCTATCGAAGACGTTGATGAGTACGTGCACCTCGGGAGCCAGCTTAACATGAGGAACGACTTAACTGGAGAGTTAGCAAGACGTCGCAAGGCTGGATGGGCAGCATTTAACTCCATAAGAAGCGTACTAGAAGACACCAGGGACTGCAAACTTCGCAAACTTCGAGCAGACTTATTTAATTCAACGGTGTTACCTGCCCTCAGCTATGCGGGAGAAACCTGGGCTCTGACGAAATCACTAGAAAGACATCTAATGTCCAACCAGGCTTCGATTGAGCGTCGTCTTTTGGGTCTAACGCTGAGTCGGCAACGAGAGCTCAAACTTCACAATTCTGACATCAGAGCAATGTTGAAAAGTAAAGACGTTCTAGTTCACGTCGATGAAGCGAAGCACAGATTTGCCGGACACCTAATGAGAAGAGAGGATGGACGATGGAGCTCGGCCACTATACGATGGTACCCACGAGAGAAGAAGCTGCCACATGGCCGTCCTCCTTTACGATGGGCAGATTCTCTATCTTATCGAAACAACGCCTATGATCCGGAGTCCTTTAGGGTGACTACGCACTGGACATCCAGAGCTCAAGATCGAGAACAATGGAAAAGAAGTTGGGACCCACGCAAGGCCAATCCCCGTGCTGATGGACGGGTCGTCTAAGTATATCTAAGTATCTAAGTACTGTTTTGCTTCTAGCTCCGAGGTCGACGTCAATCAGATCTTTTCATTCATACATTTGTCTTCCATTTAAGGTCATAATGACACAGTGACGTCATAGTGACACGGTGACGAGTTGCATGCTAAATACTAAATGCAACAGGTCAAACACGCGAACCGAATCCCTTACATATCTGATCTCTTACAGACGAGCAGTAGTGAGTAAATCACAGCCCTGCCTCCTCCGTATCTATACAGCCTAACATAATTGATTCCAGACAGTCGACGTGTCTAGTGTGCAGACAGTCGACGTCATGAATGAAACAAACGACGCCTAGTGGGTTAAAACAGCAATTTCTGACAAGATCATTTTCATCACTTTTTTGGCATTCAGAAGGCTATTTAGCGGAAATGGACCATAGTTCTGCACTCAGTGCTCATGCCCCTACACCATGCAAAAAAAAAAAAACATTTTCAAAAAGCGTCTCACGCCCTGAAAGACCTTCCTTGTTAGCGTGATTTTGCACTTCTAGCTTGTTGCCGACTAATGGGATTATTAGTGCCATCCGAAAGAGATGGATGAAAATTCGAGTCAAACTTAAACAACAAGGGTATTGATCGAAAAAGCTTGTATAATACGGCGTTCTAGTTATGCTTCACACGAAACCAATCGCACTAAACGGACAGCTGTTATGTTCCAGCAGTTGTTACTAAAAGTCCACCGAAGGAGTTATAGATACGTGGTTTTCGTTAGATCACGCATACAATACGTAAGTAATGGCAGACCGTGTCGTAGTATACTAAATCCCCTCGAAAAGGAGGAATGGACACTGGGTGCGGAAAACATTCTGGGTACGGTAAACAGTCATTTAAGCATAAAGCACATTACGTTCAACAGCACAAAATCAATACAATGAACATTCTCCTAAAGCCTTGCCCTTACTAAACTTACGTCTATAAATTTTTGGCACTATTTATCAAGTGTGCATACTAAAGTCTCGTAATGGCACATCAACGAGAACAAAGACCAGACCTGACTATGACACATGCCCGCCACGGAACCATATCATTCGTTTCAGCTGTGTGCGATGGTGGATATTCATATTTCCGCTCAAATTGCCAGAATGATGAGCGAAGGCGATGATACTCGTAAGAAAAAATGAGATGCCTGTTTTTTCCAGGGTGGAGCATAAAACTAATAAGCATAAGACCTGTTTAATCACTAACCATTTATGTCTTTCGCTATAAGATCCTTAGCCTCGAGTAGAAGAACATTCAAAAGAACGACCGGTGGCTGAAAGGAATCTTACTCATCAGTATTCGTCGGAAGAGAAACCAGCTCTTAAAGGCTATACTGAAGCTTTAGAACTGTAGCTTAAGTGGGTATAACGCATCAAGCTACATTCTTAGAAGACTCATACCTTATTCTGTTTTGCTTTCTCCATTAGAATGTTGTGCAGCTGTGTGTTTCCTTGAAAGGCGGATCGTACATACTTATAAAGGTTTTCTCGACTCTCACACTCTTCTTTACCAACTTTGTGGGCAATTGTGTATAGTGCCTCGACATACAGTGCCTAAAATATACAGCTTAAGAGGATCCTTTGCAAGGCGGAGACGACTTACGAAGGTAATAAAAGTTGTGCGTGAACCCTGTCCTTCGAAAGGTTTGAAGCTCTCTGTGGTCCGTATTCGAGCTAGGAACTGACTACACAAGCAAAAATTTAGCGCTTCAAATTGACCTTGTTTCGAAAGTTCGTGTAGCCTAGTCATACCTACTCTACAGGTAGTGTCGAATCGATCCTAGCTAACTGGCGGAAGAATCAAAACTTTATGTCAGTTTTCCCTCGAAGTACTTTGGGCTATGTTCTTGTTGGGATGTTATCATAAGGAAAAAGTGTTGAAGTTAAGAAAAAATTACTCTACTGCAGTGCTAATTTTTGTGTGATAAAAGGGTTTCAAGCCAGAATCGGCTCAACGTAAGATGTGAGGTACAGTAAGAGGTTGTCGCTTACTTCTATTGAAAAAAGTGCCTAAATGGATTTGATTTTCTACACAGAATATTGAGCATTTGAATCGGCATACTTTTCAGAGGCGGAAAAACAAATGAAGGGCAGTAGGATCGGTTTTGTGTAATCGATTCGCCGCACGCGGCTGTCACGTACCACTCGCTTTGTGTGTGTGTGTGTGTGTGTGTGTGTGTGTGTGT